ATGGTAAAGTTTTGTGCTTTCATTGGTATCAGGATAAACCTCGTCATCATCCGTTATCAGTTTTTCCTTTTCTTCAGTTTCACTGATGTGTGTTTCGTCTTTGTCTTGAGAATTTGTTTTCACTTCCTCTGCAGCAGTCGACTGCGAGGCTGACACTTTGTTGTATCTAACCTTCTTCCTACTTTTAAGGGTGGAGAGTTTGCCATTCCTCTTGTTGATCACGAGGCAATCTTCTTTGTATAAGGAAGAGCTAGTAGAATTATTATTCCTGAGGACACAAATTCACAAAAGTTTCATAGCCCTTACATCCCTTAGAGAAACTTACATCAAATTCATTTCTGCTTACAGTATCATCCCCAAAACAAGCATCAAGGATAAATTATGAGAATTTAGGATAGTATTGCTGGCCAAAGAAGCTCTCATATTCTCCTCATTGGTCCCATAGGAAATGTTTATAGATAACAGTATCGTTAATAAGGATATTAATGTTAGGGTGTAGAGGATTAACCCTTAAACTCCCATGAGTGACCAAGACAGAATTTCTCCTTACAATATCCATACAATATCAACCAGATACGAGATGAGAATAAAAAAAATAATTATCCTTTTGAGGATAAATAGTTGATCCAATACTATATTATCTGAACTAACATTATATAAGAATTGTGAAGTTGATAGTAAGGAGAATTACAAATTTGATCAAGGAGTTAAAGGATTAAAACAAAAGATGACAAATATGTTACCTAATCAAACTTGAAGTCTTCCTTATCCCTCTTTACCAATTTCTTCATTAGCACCCCTCTACTCTCAAATTATTTCATCAGTTTTATATTAGCCAACTAGAATTTAGTCCTCCAAAAATTGACACAGGGACTACAACCTGGGTTTACTTTAATGCAAAAGTAAGTAACAGATTTTTCAACTCACATCAACTCCTGGAAAATATCCTTATTTACATATTTTTCAAGGATGTGTGGAGGGAATGTTCCATATGATTTCATTGCTGTAGAGCAAAATGCAGGAAAGAACATTTAAACAGAAGTTGTACACAAACAACCATTCCATTTCTCTAACAAAGAAAAACAAACAGGCTAACACCACAGCCTAATTCATTATACTTAGTGAATTAACTCATTTGGTAATTATATTGTAATCTATTTCTAGGGATTTACAGAAAAAGAGAAGAACTATTTGAAGATTGCAGTATGTGTAAATGCAAAATCATAATCAAGGAAAAGAGGTAAATAAAAGTTTTTACCAAATATTTAATTTCCTGACCAAGTCTAAGACTTTGATATCATCATGTATGTAAAAACCAACCTTTAAACCTCCGCTGAGTTTCATCTCGAAATTGGTCCCACCATTGTTCTTTCCTGTGCAGTTCATCACATTTCCTGAAATATTATTGTCACAAAACTGATGTAAAAAGAAAGGCATACATGTAGGGAAAGGGGAGGAAGAATTTACTCCCATGAGTGACCAAGACAGAATTTCTCCTTACAATATCAATACAATATCATGCAGATAAGTGATGAGAATAAAGAAAAATATTAATTACAGGAATATTAGTTGATTCAATACCAAACTCTCCAAACTAACACCACAAGAACTATACGGCAGACAGTAAGGAGAATTACTAATGAGATCTTGGGAGTTAAAGGGTTAATGGATAGAAGTCCATCATCTCAACCCATCCTTCTACTTTCACCTCTTTAGCTTTTCATCCTTGTATGCCAGCTCTTTTTCGACCTTTGCCAAGGTTTCTTTAAGACTTGAGGCAATAGTTTGAAAGTAATAACAAGAAAACACAATCAGCATCTAAACAATACTCTTATCTAACTAATTATTAACATATTTTGCAACCAAAATATGGATATCCTAAGAAAACCATATGGGAGATACATATAAACTTACACATTTTGTTCATACAATATTTGACAATTGTAGTAACAGTTAAGTTCAAGAATTTATGGTTCCTTTCCTTCCTGAGAGTCAAACAGAAAGTGGAATAATTTTCCCTCCAGCATACAGATATTATTCTTAAATTTCTGCAAATCTTGCAACTCAATCTCTGCAAAATTAGAAATCCTATTAATTTCATAATATACTCTCAGTTTCTGCTGCTTTGAACCAAAAGCATTTTTATAACTGAGGTCATACAACTTTGTTAAAAATTAAGTTTAAGATTTAATTCCTACTGATTATTTTCATCTTGAAGTTGTTTGAGTTGCTCCTTTATCTGAGTATTTTCTTTCTCCAAGCACTGAACCCTTTTATCAGACTCTGTACATCTGTCACTGAGATCTGGAAAATGTGAAACGATCAAATTTTATCAATGCATACTAATAATGAATGATGCATAAGTCAGAATGATGTACAACTCTTGCCCAAGAGTCAAGACAAGAGCTTTAACATTCTTGTCCCTTATGTAGAGACATGGTCAGCCTAACTCATAGATTGGGCATCATTTTTTGCATTTTTCAGGCAAGCAGGAGGCAAGCAAGAGGCAAGAGATGTGCAAGGGAAGGGGAAATTTTTCTTTTCACTTCTCCTCTGGCAGGTGTCTTGCACTTCCCTGTGTAGGCCTGATAAATGCAGAAGAACTCCTGTCCTGCTCTATACTATTGGTTAAACTCTATTAAAGCTTTAGTTTGGGTGCATGCTAATCTTTTAAAACTGAACAGATGGACCTACAAGGCATGGTAGAAAACTCTCACATATTTGTTCAACTAATTGAGGGAGAGTTACCATGAACTCAGGGTTAGATCCCACCTAGATTCTTTACACAACTGCAGCTCTTTTTGAGCTGGCGATCGAGTTTTTAAAGAAGTTGAGAAAGTTTCTCAATTTCTATAAAAACTCGACATAATATGTCTCTTTCTCGATTTCTTTACAAACTCGAAAAGTGCTGCAGTTGTGTTTTAGATTTTCTCAAGTAAAATTCTTTACGGCAGACAGCTTTAGATTAATACCATCCTTTCGATAAATATGCTAGTTTAATTTTTGGGGCCATAAGAAAGAATAAGGTCTTTGACTATCTCTATGCACCCAAGAAAAATAAAGTAATATTTTTTAACATGCACAATTTACACCTTGCCTTGAAAATCTCTTTTTATGGTCTCTTTGAGCTTTTCCAGCAGAGAATATGATTCCATTAGAAATTATCCGAGCTACACTCCGGTTCCTTTCCATCTGAAGCTTAAAGGGACCAAATTTTAAGTTCAGCGAATAAAAACTTTTGGAGCGATACATTCATCGTGTAAACTTCCCGCCATGTTGACCCCGCGGTTAAGAGACTGGGTCCAAGGAGTCGCCTGGCACTTCTTTTGTTTACAGCGAGTGATCGAACTCGGAGACGATGTACACCTCGCAGGGTTTCTTCTCAAAATTATAGATCCTAAATTGTTGACAAAGTAAACAGAATCATGACTGAGGAAGAGTGTTTATGCGATCGAACTTACAGAGCTCATCAAAGGCAGGAAAGCAAACCAGAGAAACACGAAAATCGCTCGTTACCAAGGCACACAAATCAAGATCACAAGGTATTTTAAAAGCTTTGTTTTAAACGGAACAACTCTAAGACATGGTTTGATGCTACTCTGGTTTAAAGATTTGATGAATGTTACGAGACGTTACAATTCATAGTCCCAACGTTTCGACAATCCTGTCTAGTGCTTCCTCTAATAACTTCTTGGTTACATTCATTAGATCTTTAAACCAGAGTAGCATCAAACCATGTCCGATTGTCCACCTGGTTGCCATGTGAACTTTAATATATCGGAATAACTCTTATTTTTATGCCTTTCTTCGCTTCCAGTCAGTAAACTTTCGATGTGTTTGTTGTTTTAAAATTTTTAAATTCTAAAAAGGTATACGATTGGACATAATGCACATTTTCACGACCCGAGATGCTAAATGCTTGTTTCAAAACCGACTACAAATATAATTGAAATTGTGACTTTTGGATTATGCCAACCTGTACCAAGCATTTGACATTTGACTTTTGACTGCCAGAATTAACTCGTCCACCTTATCAGCTTGACTTAGCCGTCTGTTTTTTTCCTTCTCAAGGGTCCAGAAAGTCAGTTTTTGTACAGTCAGCTGGGAAGAGTTGTTATCAAGAAGCACACGTACTTAACCCCTATAACACATGCTACGTATCCATGGAACTATGCCCAACCACCCGGCAGAAAATCAGCCTTTAAAATGCCAAAAACTGTTTACCCTAAGAGATGACATTATCAAGCATCAAAACAAGTATTTCTAGAATGCAGCTGGCTAAACAAGCCCTTTCAAGAGACTCTGGTAGCACCAGCAAGGTCTTCTCCTTCCTCTCACCTGGCTGGGAGAATTAGTTTCATGAGGACTCTGCAGGACTGGTGCAGAGATCTAGGCTCTTGTTCCTCAAAGAGTGGATAATGCTAGCCACTGGATAAATCTCTATCTGTTGGATAGTGCAGTACGTTTTATGCACTGGATAGCAATTTAACCCTTTAACTCCCAGATCAAATTTGTAACTCTTCCAGTACTGTTAACCATACAATTCTTATCATGTTACTTCAGAGAATTCAGTATTAGATCAACTAATTATCTCCAAAGTGATCTTTTCTTTATTCTCATCACTTATCTGCTTAATATTGTATTGATATTGTTGGGAGAAATTCTGTCTTGGTCAATAATGGGAGTTAAAGGGTTAACTGTTAGATCATGCTATCTTCCCTTTGAACAGCTGAGCCCTGATGTATAAAACAAGAAGTCTTCAGAATAGTAGGGCCCTTTTAGGAAAACTCTCTTATTTGCCTCTGTAAAAGGTCATGTGTACCAGCTGACTGCCAGGAAGAACATGATTGAATACAAAAAAGGGGAAGCAAGGGAGTCCTAAGTCACTAAACACTGGGAAAGCCAGATATGCTCCAGTAAAAATAAGGGGCCCATAGGGTTATGTAAATTTAGGGACTGTAAGATGGGTCCTCAAGAGCTTCAAAGATGTTTAGATCTACTACACTGTAAGTTTCATTTTTATTAATGAAGTGGTTTGATACAGATCCAGTAACACTTAAACTATCTTTAATAAACAATTTCCACATTCTAATAGCAATTTTATGGTAGACTTATTTTTTACTGACATCTTCACAGAAAAAAAAGTGGCAGATCAATGTCTGGGGCCCAAAATACATGTTGCAAGTTTAATTTCCTGTTTAGAGTAGTAGATGTAAAATGAACTTTTTTTAATAATACACAGAGTGAAGAAGAGTAACGAATTACATGCTAATTTGATGCAAATTTCACTTCTTTTTCATCATTGTTTCTTTCAATGTTTCCAGCTTGTCCAACACAGATGGTGGCACAATGATCTGAGTGAAAAATGCGGCAGGGTCATCAGCTGGAGTATCCTGTCTTCCTTCTAGAGGAGTTTCCATAATTAACTTGGAAAAATAACAACAACAAAAATTAACATTAAGGTTGACAACTGAAAGCCTGAAGCTAACTGCTACAGCTCATCCCATTTCCATTGCATAAAACAAGGGTGCTATCCATCAGACAGATATTTATCCAATGTATGGCACTGCTCATCCTTCAACCAACCAAGGCCTAAATGGGATGCTTATTCCACCTGGAATTTGTCAGATTTCTCTGACATTTTTCAGGTACCCACTTATTTCCCTGGGCTGAGAGAGGCAATGCAGAAATTATAAGTCTTGTCTGAAAAACTTCAAAGAGGGACACAGACAGGGCTTGAACCCTAGATTAGGAGTTCAACAAGTTAACCACCAAGACACAATGTGTCAACTTAATTCACCCAGAGGGAGGAGCTGAAAGTTTGTGCTTAGGATTGTGAGAGATTAATCCTCTACACACCTGTCTTGCTTCTGTCCTGGTAAGATCTCCTCTCATCAACAACAGGACCAAGGCATGGTCAGATTTGAAGTCTGGGTACTTGTTGGCAATTCCCTGAGGAGAAAAGTAACAGGCATAGTAAACTTAAAACCGAATGTCATGTTGATAACAAACCATGACTGCTGAGAACATTCAAAATTACCTTTCCTATCTTGAAAAGAGGGCGACAATAAGCAATATTTCTGATCACATTTTCCATTTAAATTCTTAACAAACAGCTTATCATTAACTATTATAAATTATCATGAGATAAATTTTATGATACAAATTTACATACATAAAATAGTATGGCTTTTCTTTGTCTCAAACCCAAAAATGATAACAAATTTAACTATTCTAGCTAGATGTGATTTGCTCTTTAGTTACCGAAATTTCAAGAGCCATCATGGACGTATCTCGAAGTTTGATGACCTCAGCAAGTGTGGAAAGAACGGAGCATTGAGTTTCTGGCTGCAAATTAGCTTTGGCTAACTTCTTGAAGAGTTTCTCGATCTTTTTGGATTCCTCCGTGATCTTTTTTGCCGCATCCCTCCTTCCTTCGTAATCCTTAAATGTAATACGCCTAGAAAAATGAAAAAGAACTTGTAAAACTTAAGTTGAGGTGTGCCTCCTTATGCCGGGAAGGTCCAAGACTATCGCGGATTTACACACAAAATCTCAGATTTTGAGTTACATCAGTTAGTGTACCAGATTCTCACGAACCGTCGCTGAAGTTCGCGCATTTTCAAAGCGCACTTATTCAATTTTTAGAAATGTCACGTTGAGAAATTTTCACGTAACGTTCATGCCTTTTAACCCCACGAGCGCGAATTTTCACCACGCGTTCATTTACGTCTTCGTCAGACAAAGCTACAAAGTGAATGATCGCCGACCATCATGAAAATCTGAAACACTCCCGTTTTTCGCAAGCAATACGGCAATGCCAGAAGTTAAGTCCACAAAATACAAAACAGTTAAAAATATTCAACACCATACTTGTTCAGCATTGCACGGACATATTCTAACAACACTTTCTTCAGAGCTTGTTCCATGAGGTTATCGAAAAATCTGTCGAAAAAAGAGTCTTATTGAAAAACTAATCACCGTAAGAAAACCCAAACAGTCACCGAGTCTTCTCTTTTATCATAAACCAGTTTCCACAATTTTCACTTCACTTTAAAGCATTTTCACGTCGCGCTCACGCTTTCTCGGTTCACGCCGGTTCACAAAACATCGAGTGGTATCTCGGTGTGCGCGACGTTGTAAAGACATCATGCCGTTAGCACTAAAACTCCCTATAGCTGTAAAAGAAACATTCAAGTTCACTTTACTTGTCTTTCAAGTGTAAAAAGTCATTGTAGTAATCCTCTATTGTGACAATTATTGTGTCCACAGCTTCTGGACTTGGTATCCTAAAAAAAAAAAAAAAAACAGAAAATATCAGGCCTTTAGAAATAAACTGTTATTAAAAAGAGTAAGCAGATTTAAACCTTTCCTTGATCAACTAACGATCCAACAACCACCACCCCTTTGAAGTTTTCTCTTTCAGTTAGTAAACGAAGCTTAATAGCTAAAGGTGCGATGTTTTCAGAGGAGTGAAAAATCAAGGAAGGTTTTGGGCAGGAGGACGAATGTCAAATAGGACCTAAGAAAATGGCGACACTAAAAATCAAGTTCTGCGAAGCTCAGTGGGATAGCATCCAAACAGTCGTCGAAAGACCAAAGGTTTCAGTTGTCTGGTCTTCGGAAATTAATTCCAAATACAAAACTTGTCACAAATGTAGTTTTAACCTTATAACTCCCAAGATCCTATTAGTAATTCTCCTTACTGTCTGCCATATAGTTCTTGTGATGTTAGTTTGAAGAATTTGGTATTGGATCAACTAATAATCCCCTAATTAATATTTTTCTTTATTCTCATCACTTGTCAGCATGATATTGTATTGATATTGTAAGGAGAAATTCTGCCTTGGTCACTCATGGGAGTTAAAAGGTTGAACAACTTTTCATTAAAATTGCAAAGTTTGTTGGACATGAAATACAATACCATGTAGGAGTCATAATTTGTGAGAAAAAAGGCTCCAGGTCCAAGAATGCTTCATCCAAGAGGTATCCAGCACTGAAAATTATTAACAAAAAAAACATTTCATTTGGAAACAGCAAATAAGTAAAATTAAGATGAGATGCAAGCCAAGAGTAATTCGCAACTTGGTCGCTCGTGTTTTCCCGCGCTTCAGGATCGACGTAATTGCTTCCCCTTTGTGATTGGTCGAGACATCTTAATCCGCGTCGCCCTCTCAACCAATTAGACGAAAAATTGAACAAAATGCGTCTTGCTGCCTCGCCTTTTCCCGCGCCTCAAAGAAATTGTTTTGGTCGAGACATCTCAGTTTGCGACGCCCTCTCAACCAATTAGATGAAGAATTGAAACAAAACGCGTCTTGCTGCCTCGCCTTTTTTCCCGCGCCTCGAGGAAATTGTTTTTCTTCTTCACTCTGGCTTACCATTACTTCCCAAAGAGATATTTGTCTTTGTTCTGATTGGCCTCTGTAATTACTTTGGAATTCGTTTTACGATACTCCGATAAAAAGCGCTTAAGTAACCAACATTTTGACAAATAAAACTTGTGTCAGCGCACAAACCTCTCCTCTCCTATCTGAGCGAAGCAGTCGACGACGCTCTTAAATGATCGTTGTTTATCTTCTCCAAACGTTGCTCGGCCAAGTTCAGCCACTAACCGCTCCTACAGAGAATAAACAAGAGTTAAAAGTTGGTAAAGGTAAGAGCAAAAACATACATTCACGTCGATTAGACTTACACTTCTTCGCCTTTGTAGCCACCCGATGTTGTGCGCGCTTGATCCGAGCCTTCGCTCTGTGATTAATCCAGAAAACTTGCGCTAACCTCTCAACCAATCAGATGCATGTTAAAAACCAATCACCACTTGGTAACCCGCGTTTTCCCACGCTTTAGGAAGTTTGGAAGTTTTTATTTCGAGTTCTCATCGGCAGGTTAAGGCATATCCCTTTCTTCTCAATGGCCGTTGTGATCACTTTAGTTTTGGTTCATGACATTCAATCGAAAAGCGCTCTAGCATCTTGAAGCCTACCTTTAGTTGATCTGTAAAGTCCATACACGCCTTACAGTTGTTTACGATGGCCACCTGGCAAAGAGGGAAAATCACACTCAGTTGTAAACTCAAGAACAGCGTAGCTTCTACAAGACAAACGTAGAGTAAAGGCTTTGAAATTACTTGTGTGAATGAGCGAGGAGCAAAGAAAATGAATGGGAAGGACTGATGAAAAGTTTGACCCTTTCGTGTATTCGTGGTGATTTTCGTGCGCTGTCGCTGACACTCGTTCGATCTTAGTGATTCCGATACGCTCTCGATAACTATTGTAATGTACACCAGCAGTGACATTCGGACACGTTATCGGTGATTCGCTTTTGATCTTCTTTTAGCCAACTATCGCTCGGACGAAGTCTACATATAAAAACACACAAAACCCACGATTCCTCCGTTCGCTCTGACGAAGGGCTAACGCTCGAATAGTCAGCTTTGAAACTCTTAACGGTGGCCAATTGACATTATCAACTCAGTTGATAATACCAAATTAACTTGCTACGCTCTCACACCGACGCAGGACCACAGTTTCTCTAAAAACTTATCTCCTTTATTAGAAGTCAAGTAAGTCAGTTTTATCTTTAACTCACACCAATACAGATAAGGATGATTATTTCTTATAACTGCGTCACGCACATTAGTATAAAGGATACGGAACATCTAGACAAAACAAACAAACCAAAAAAAGAAATAATGTGGAAAAAACTACTGCACTAAGTGAATTGTGTCAAATTTGGGACACCAGATTGTGTCACAAGACTACCATAAGTGCCTATCAAATATTAACTTCGCAAACTTTTGAGCAACATTCTTACTATGTATTCCACAAATCTCACAGGCTGCATTCTGTCCTCAAAGTGTTTGCTCTTGAAAGTTCTGATTTGACCTACGGATTAAACCACACGCAACGAATAACATGATTCGAAAAACATCTTTCTGCATGTCTTTACTGAGCTTAAAACTTACCATCTTTCTTATCCTATTTAAAAAACATGACACTATTCGACATTGCTGATCCAAGAAGTATACAGGATGCGTGTCATATATGAATGTACACCGTGGAGTCCCAGTGGCTCAGTGGTAGAGTATCGGAGCGCGGAATCCGAAGGTTTGAGGTTCGTTTCCTCAAATGGACACAGAATTTTCTGTTCTTCCCACGCTCGTGACCAGACGAAAAACATCTTTCTCTTATATGATCTTTTCTTTCAGCTCGTTTTCAAAGACAAGCTGAAACTTTACCATCTAAATAACTAGTTACCTCGATATTCCCTCTGGAAACCTTGCATAGACTCAAGACAAATATCCAGAATCTGAGCAAAGAAGAAAATCGCAAGGTATTACTTTAGATTTTAAGTCTTTTTTACGTTTATTGTCAATATTTTACTACGATCACTTTGGTCCTAATGTAACATCACTAAACCATACAACCCTTTTAGAAGTTAACGTTTAATGCGGCGAATAATTCATTTCTATAGCTGACCTGTAGTTTGATCTCTTCTCCAGCCTTCGCTGCAACTTGCAGCTGAAAAAAAAAAAGTAATGTTTACTGGGATGGCCAAAAATTGGAAAAAAGGGCCAAATCTTGTTCTTTGGATAGTATTTCTTGCAAAAATAAGAGAATAACTCACATTCTGATCGATCATTTTAAAAAGGAAAACTGGAAGCGATGTGTTGTAGAAACCATCCATGTCTGTCTCTGGCGGTGCGTCCCTGTTCCAGTCCTGGAATTAGAAACGCAACAGATATTCAAACCTAGCTCTCAGCAGTTACCATGAAAAAAAAAAACAACAAAAAGTAACAGCAAGCTACTGTCCTCATAACCCCCAAGATCTGATAAGTTACTCTCCCTTCTTAACGCCTCACATTTCCTTGTAAATAAGTTGAGAGAGTTTGCAGTTGCATCAAAACAACACTCTTCAACTGATAACATTGTCTAATCTCGTAGCCTGTCTACTGCATAATGTATTAGAATGAAGAGATGAATTTGCAGAGTAATCACTTCTTAAAGCTAGAGGGTGGCCAAACTGATAATTCGACCAAAAGTAAACATTCAAAAAAGTATCAGCAACTGCCAGTGTGCTAACGGATTTGGACGCCCCTTACTTTGAACCCCCCGGTCTTTTAACGGTCCAAATCAGCGAGAGGGGGTCCATATCCGCTCACTGATTTGAACCGGGGAGTCCAAATCCTCTGTGAAACCGGCACCATACAAACGTTAATTCATCACCTGAAGATCTGTTTCGGCCAGCCTGGCCATCCACTCCATCATGTTGTTTTTAGTGGTCGTGAGGTAGCTGATGAAAAAGAAGTTGAATTAATTGTGACACAGTAGTAGTAATTTATACTAATCTAACTTTCACTAAAAAACAACTTTCAATCTCGTGTCGAAAATGATCGAGGATTTCGCTCTGTTCATTGATTGGTCTCGAAAACTCGCGCCAATATCTCAACCAATGAGATACAAAAATGAAACCAGTTATAACTTGACTACATGCGATTCCTACTCTTTACTTGCTTACAACCCCAATTCTCTTTGGCTCCTTAAAAGTTCATTACGTGTGATTACGTGGCGAGACATCACGAGCATATTACGATGAGGAGTACGTAAAAGGGACAATTTGAAAGTACATAGCAAAGTTTTGATTACGTGTCTAGCAGTTCCTGTTCAACTTTGGGCGATAACAGAGGTCCTAGGAATCCAACATCAATCTGTAGCTCTGGATGCATCATAAGATCAGTTCCCCTAATGTAAAAAAAATGTATCAAGCGCAGTCAAATTATGTTTCGTTCTGATATATTTAAGTCCAGCAGTCACGCCAACTCTCAACGAATTTAAAGTTTAACCCCTTACACCCTAACATCATATGCATATTCTCCATACTGTTCTCTATACATTTCCTAAGGTGCTGACAAGGAGAATTTGTTTAAAAATCAATGTTTCTTTAGTTGGTGGTCAAAAGGTTAATGCGAACATAATCTGCCAAAGCAGTTTGCCAAACATATCTCGAACGATGCACACGACAAATGTAGGCCCCATAATAGTAACGGAACAGTGACTAAGGGAATGATGACTAGCAAGATCAGGCTGCAACAAATGGGCTAGCAAAAGATGAGAGGAAAAATTCCTATGAACTGTATGATACGT